GTATCGGTCTTTTAACCCCGTGAATCCAGGAGAACCGACCCGTAGGAGGCGCCAAAAACCCTTAGTAATTTTCCGAACGCCCACCAGTTCGGCTCAGGTAATCATTAATCAATTTTATAAAGTTACGTATAAAGACATTAGAATTGAGTATTTGTCGCGGTTGAATTCCCCAAAAGCCTTTGGTGGCGCCAACAAAGTCAACGCTTGATGTGCCGAAAATCTCCGCCAATCAGAGCCCGTGTCTATTGGCCGAAATTCGTGCTGCGGTTAGTGCCCGTGACACTAACCCAGGGCAGTTAATTCCGCGTTGACCGTCGTCGATCGTTAGTCACGTGCGAAATTTTGAGTGTGTCCACGCAACGTCATTGTGCCACGTGGATTATTATACCATTTGGAGGAGCCGTACCGATCCAGGATGGTCCGAAAAGGGAAGAGGACCTCTAAATACAGGAAAATCGTGAGTTTTTAGTTCGGTTTATGTATTTTTCCGAATTCATTTCGGCTTTTCGTTATTCGGCTACGGGGTCTTCAGCCCCGTACGTCGCATTTTATTCCGGTAAAACGGTGATTATGACGCTTAATCCAAATTATGTGGTGCCGATCCCCCCTTTTTTCACTCATGATTGGGTGGTTGTCGTGATTTTTGGTGGGTTATTCAAGGGGATAATTACTCCCGTTTAATTGCCAGAGCGCGTCCATTCCCGTTACACGTGGGTTTTTGCGCGTAAGAAATTCCACTCGTATTTGAATTGAGTTGGTTCGCGTAGATAGTTAATTAAAATTAAAATTTGTGGATCAATGTGTTCGGGGGGCTTCCCTGAGTAATTTATCTCAGGGTTTCCGAAAATTCGCTCTGCCGATTTCCGGATATTCCATTTTTGGTTTTTATGGATTTCCAGCCCATTCTCGCTGGCGTGTACGCCGTGTTTCTCGAGGGGGAATTCCCCCCGACTCTCGACTCCCCGTTAGATACTCATCCACGTTTACACGTGGCTATTCTCGCTTCACGCGAGCCTTTTAGCGTTTAGAATTCCGCTCGGGAATTAATGAACCTGGGGCGGCTAATTGTTTAGGAAACATTATTTTTTTGGTATTGTTGTCTTCGGTAGACTCTCCCGGACATTTTGTCTCAGGATCCGTAATTTTTGACTCTGCCATTTTCGAGTTATGGCAAGTTGAGTTTTACGGAATTTCAACCGTTTTGGCTGGTACGAAAAATCGATGGTGGAATACGATCTCCTCTCTCGCTCCCATTGTCGCTCGCATACCTTTCCCCCCAATTCTCGGAATTCTCGAGTATTTAGGGATTAGCGTGTATTTCTACTCTCCCCAAATGTTTATTTCGGCATATGTGAGGTATTTATCGGTGATATTAATTTCTTCGAATATTTTTGTCAGATTAGACTAATTTCTATCAGAGTGCGGAATTAATATTATGATTATTATTATTATCAGTATTGTTAGTTATTAATTGTAGATTTTTTCCTTTTTTTTATATTTTTTTGAGAGAATTGAAATGTCTTTTTTTGTGAAAAATTGGTGATTCTCATATTTCAATAGTGAAACACGTAAGAACGATGTTGATTTCTTTTCCTTTTTTTTTGTAGTTTTGGCCACCCAATACCCGTCTCCACCTGAAATCCACCCCTCTCTCCACAACATAGCACACTGAGCGAACCCAGGACCGTTACCTTTCCCCAGAAATCTAGTTTTCTCCCCTTTTGTGTAAATTTTTGAGGTTTTGGAATCAATTAGAATTGGTTTTGTAGAATCATCCGGTTTGGTAATTCCGGCTAAAAATTACCTGGCGCCTATAAATTTTTGTATTTTTGAGTTTAACTAGATGAAGGGGAAGAAGGGCGAAGGTAATAGGCATTTTTAACCCCCATACGAAAATGTCACGTTACATATGATAGCCTTCAACGTCATTTCAAGAGTGATAACAAGAGCCGGGCTGACAGAGGCGTTCAGGTCCGGGAAAGGAGTAAGACAGGGATGCCCGTTAAGTCCGATACTGTTCAACGTGTTCATATAGGGGCTGGTGGAGGGTTTTGAGAAGAGAGGAGAAGGAGGGGCAGCAGCTAGGGTGAAGGTATACGCACTAATGTATGCGGCAGTGGTGGCAGAAAATGGAACGGAGTTGGCGAAAATGCTGAGGACCCTGGAGAGATAGGCGGACGAGAATTGGATGGAGGTGAGCGTGGAGAATACAAAAATAATGATCTTCAGGAACGGAGGGAGAAGGAAGGCGGAGAGCTGGAAATTTAATGGAAAAGTGGTAGAGGTAGTGAATGAATTCAAGTATTTGGGGTTTTGGTTCACGACAAGGAATATCTGTGGAAAACATGCAAAGAAGTTGGCTGGAAAGGCACAGACGTTGGTGAACAAGGCATGGGGGGAAATAACGAGGGGCAAGCCGAAGAATCTGAGAAGGAGGCTGTATTTCATGGAGGTGACGGTGAAGACAGCAGCGTTGTACGAAGTGGAGCTGGAAAAGGCAGGAGACAATTGAGAGGGTGCAGAAGAGATACACGAAGGCCAATATGGGGCTAGCAAGGAATACACCGGACTACATTTGGAGAATGGAGGCAGGAGGGTTCAGCGTGGAGAGAGGCGTTTAGCGGCATTTTTGATAAAAATGAGTGAGGTGGATGAGAATAGGTGGGCGAGAAAGTGTCTGAGAGAGGAGTTAAGGGGAATTATGAACGGGCAACCCTCTGGCTGGGGAAAAGAGGTACAGGAAAAACTAAGGTCACTAGGAGACGGCAAGTTTTTGGAGCAGCTATGGGCAGGGGAAAAGGAGGAGGCGGAAACGAGACAGAACGAGATGGTGGGGTTACTCAAAGGCCAGAAAAGACAACAAGGCTAGAAAAGGATAGACAAGTCCAAGTACTGTAATTACTATAACGAGGTGAAGGAGAACGGTGACGTGGCAGAATACTGGATGGACACGGATTTGAAGCTGGATCAGAAAATAGCCTGGGCAAGGTGGAGGTGTGGGAATGCATTCATAGGAGGGAAGAGAGGGCGCGTGAAGGAAGAGTACAGGGCTTGTGGCAAAGAGAAGGAGGTCCTGGAACACATGGTGAGATGTAAGGTCTTAATGAGGAGAATGGATCTGGAGGACGCGAGTTGGTGAGGGGAATGGAGAAAAGAAAGTAACTGGAGACGGTGGAGACGGAGGTTAGTTGGAATGCTCAGGGAGTGCCCAACGAGAAGACTATGTGAGAGGTTTGGGAGACTGGAGAAGGCGCTGAGGAAGGCAAAGGAACAGAAAAAGGACAGGCAGGGGAGAGGGCAACCAAAGACTCAATAAGGCAACTTCGGTGATAGACTGTGATAGGGAAAAAGGGCAATGGGAAGGAGGCAGGGAATAAGCGGGGTAGTAATCGGGTGAAGTATAAAGAAATAGTATTTTTCCGGGCTGCGGCGATGGAGTTTTTTACTCGTGTGGCGTTGGCGTCCGAGCCGGAGGCGAGGACTGGCCAACCACACAAGTAAGAGAACCCCATCGCAGCAGCCCGGGACAAAATTTTTTTGTACTGATTTTCAAGTTTTCGAGTTTGGGAAGTATGCAATACCAATTCCCAGACGAGAAATGGTGAGAAGCAGTACAGAAAAGGAATTAGCTGTTGAATTATGAGCAAAGAAGTGATTATGCAATAAATTCGAAAAATCTATCAAGTACAACTTAGATATTCCAATATATAGCTGTATATACATGTACAGAGAACGAAATGAAAGAAAGGCTGATGATGATGTAAAACAAAGAAAAACTTGTGTAACATCAAGGAAATAAATAATTGAATTGAATATTTCTTAGATTCCAAGATGTTCATTAAAAAATTGAGTAAGATTCAAGTCGACTCTTGATCCTCTACTATTTCATTACACTCAATAATGATTTTGCGGGGAAAGTGTTTAGTAGATGGGTGAAAAAAAATTAATAAAGTCTCCTGAAACTGATAATGCAAACCCTCGTCCGAAAGCCGCACCTTATGATCCGCATAAACAATAACCAAGTTATTGCTCTCCTGTTGCACAGCCATGGCCGTTGCAGGACATTCATAACTTGGTAGTACCCAGAATTCAGGCTCTTCTGCATCACACTCCTGCACCAGATATGATACCACCCTGCCCTCCAGATCTCCACAGATCAAGAACTCATTATCCGGTGAAAAGCACATGAGTCCAATATTTTTCAACTTCTGCTTCCCACTATTGAATGAGCACTTCAGCGCAAATCTTTTATGCTCGACCTTGAACACATTGACCTGGTTAAACCCATTCTCATTATTAGCAGTCACAAAAAGTTTATTATTCGGACTAAACATCATCATCTGAATCCTCCCAACGCTGAAATCACTCTCACTCTTCGTCAGCATTGCATCCCCTTCAACGATATCAAAATTAAATACTCTAACGTGATTGTCAGTTGAGTAAATAATCATCTTCGAGTCCTTCGTGATTGCATACGAAATAATTCCTTCATTTTTCTTGGTCCTGAGCTCCAGTAGTTTAATCGGATCTTCCTCTAATTGATAAACCATGCCGTTTTTTTCCTTAACATATCCGTTTCTATCAGGAGAATCAATAGTATTAGATGTCCCGAGTCTCCATAACTCAAGATAATTAGAATAACGAAGTAAGATGCATCGTGATTTTCTGCAAATGGTGACACAAGGGTTTGAGAGTAATGGAGGATACTTTACTAAATTTTTAGGCGGGTAGCTGGATTGCGCCAAATATCCGTCAACACCAGCAGAATACAATTTTCCATTGGTTTCGACTAAAGCTCTGACATCGTGAATATGGAGCCTCCTTTCGATTCCTTTGACCCATTGACACCTTCCGGAGGATTTCAAAAGAACTTTTGAGAAACTTCTAATGACTGGATCGATCCCGGCACTATAAATTACGTTGGAGTCCTCCGATACTGCTAAAGAGAGAATATCAGCTGTGTGAGACTCGTGACTCTCAATTAATGTTCCCATTGAGGGATCCCAGACTAACAAAACTCCTCTTGAATCTCCAGAGATAACGTGGTTGTCATTCGTTACTCCTAAGCACCAAACAATGGTTTCCTTCCTGTTCTGCTTCCTTCCGGTCGTCATTTTATGAATTGCATGGCCTGAGTTTGCATTCCAGACTCGGACGGTGTCATTTGAGCCCGTAAAGATCATATCACCTGTATTGTCCCATTTTAAGCATAAAATTCTGCCCTTTTGCTTGTCGAAGATTTTTTCATAAACGAGATTATCTTGAGTTATTGCGAAGGTGTTAACATAGCCATCTTCCGTACCAACGGCAATCCGGGTGTGGAGAGGGTTGACGTCGAGACACCAAGCTGCTCCTCCAGTAACAGACTGACAGTATTTGGGTTTTAGAGTGATTAGGTCGTACTCGATTATAAAGCCGCGGAGGCCTGTGGAAAGCAGACGATGCGGGGCGATCCAAAGGAGGGACTCAATCGAGTCTCGTGGTTTGCCAGGGATTATTTGTTCCAGGAACGGTGTGTGGGATACGTTCCATATCTCGATTGAGTTGTCGTTCCTGCAATACAGCAATGTTGATTATATATTGCAGGTAAAAGTAAAAATATCGGCAAGAATGTAAAATTTTGACAAAAGAACATTTTTCTAAGCTTAGCGAATTGTCCAAACAAGATCCCTTAATATTTTCTTCTCAAGAGAATAAATATTTAAATAATTCATAAATTCATCAGAAGACAGCTTAGCACGTGCAACACTGTGGTAGCCCAAGTCAGTGAAAAAACAAAAAAAAAAATCTAAGGGTAAATTTTGATATTTTCTGAAAAAAACCACCCGTTCCTAGTTGTTGGGAAGAGAACTCATTGCCTCCGTCAACCGGGCCAGGGCGGACCATTATCACCTGAACAAATCTCTCTACAAAATGAATATGGCGAGCAGCATGGAATGCAGCTGTGGAGGCAACACCGAGACACAAAATATTCACCATGTTCTATGGAGTTGTTGCCTTCACTCTGAAGGAAGACAACGAATGATTGATAAATTGATAAACCTGAAACGTCCCAGGCCATTCACCATATATGCATTCCTTGCTTCTAAATACTTAGAACCCCTGCGAATAATCCACGAATTCGTTAAAAGTAACAAAATTAGAATCTACGGAAAACCAAAACTACCACGTAAACAAAAATTAAATTGAACCAATGTTAAATTAAAACTTTCTGTTTGTTAATGTAAATAACCCGCTGTAGTTTAATACTTCAATAGAAAAAAAATCATCAGAAACACTGTTTTTTCGTAGTGTTAATCGTTGTTACTTTTCCGGACGACTCTTCACTTTTCCTTCCGTTCGCTCATTTTAATTCATAGTCATACGAAATTTTTAAAACGACTCGTTTTTGTTGATGTCTCCTCCCTGATTTTTATAATTGAGAAGTGAAAATCGGTAATCATATGTAAAAAAATAATCGTAAAAATGTATACGTTGGGGATTTTTTAGGTTGAATTTTCGTTTACAAAAATTCAAAAATCGAATTTTGAGCGGTGGAAAAATTTTGGCCTGCCGAACTGGGTTTCTCAGAAAAAATCTCAGCCAAAAATATTACTTTAGAGTTTTTTTGAGGGATGATCTCCCTTAACATATAAAGAATACACAACAATATACATTTTCAATGAGATATATTCAATCAAATCTTGTTTGTCGCGGCTCTCTTTAAAACGAAAGGTCTCCCGCAGCATCACTGAAAATTTCTATCAGAATATGATGGAAATCGCACCATTCATTGTTAAGTTACAGTATATTGTTTGTGCCATTCAGAGGTCGCCAAAAATATAATTTCCATTATTAATATTTCATTACCATATGAATGGTGAATAAAAGAAATTGAATTATGATTTTTTTTGTAATAAATAATAACGCCAAGTATATTTTCCATTGCGATGAGGAGAAATGGAAATAAACAAGCAGGGGTTCGAGCCCATCCGACAGAAGGCATGTGACCGTTACTTTTTGCATTATTAGTCTTTTTCTCTTTTTTATTTCTACCAATTCCATTGGTAGTAAGCTTTCGAATGGATCCGTAGCAATTCCCTGTCCTTGTGACAAGTATACAACCGTAACCACATGCTGCAGAATGTCTACAGGAAGATATTCAACTTTTTAATGAAATAGATTTGTACCCAAGGTTAAATATCTCCGAAACTGCTCGGCCGATTGCGCCTATCCAAAATACGAATCTTCAATATTGTAAGAGCTATAATCACACCAAATTTCAACTTACTATTTTCATTTTTTCTCAAAATATCGCGCGTACAAGAATGAAAAAATTTAAAAAACGAAAAAACCAGAATATCTCTGATTTTCTGTATGGACGGGTATACATATTTTAATTGATCTAGATAGAGGCCATCGAGATGAGTATTTTGAAAAAAGAAATATTGAAATCGGTGGAGTAGATTTTGAGATATTGAGGAAAAACGAAATTTAAAAAAGTTGTTATATCTCAGGAACTACTGGACCGATTGGGCTGAAACTGCGTACCAAAGTGAAGCTTAATCATAGCTACCATGAGCCAAAATTTCAAACTTTTATCGACAAATTTCACCATATTTATATGTTGAATTTTCTAAAAATTGATCACCAAAAACCCAAGTTCTCGCACACATACATACAGACATGACCCTAAAGACATCATTTCTTCACGTTTCATAACATTCTAGACCATTTGCCATCAAATTTAGAAAATCGAAAAATCGCTCAGATACAAGGCTTTCATTCGGAAGCAAAAAGGGATAAATAAATGGCGAAAAAAGATTGAGAAAAGGATAGGAATAATAAAAGGAAAGGAAGGACATTACAAAAAAGCAAAAAACAAAGAATAAAAAAGAGTTGAAAAAGGGATAAATAAATGATCAAAAAAGATTTCAAAAAAGATATGAAAAATATAAAAAAAAGACAGAGACATTACAAAACAAGACGAATATTCTTGAATAATTGAAATTAGGATCGGTTGACTCGTTATTGAGATATTTAAAAAATTAGATTTACATATAAAGTTGAATATCTCAGAAAGTAATTATCCGATTGAGCACATTTTCAATATGGACCATTGTTACTACTAGAGACAACTTGATGCCAAATTTCAAGTTGATATCTCCATTTTTGCGGATGCTAGAGTGCAAACAACGATTTTAGGTAAAAAGAGAAAAATCGAAATATCACGAAAACTTTCTATGAACAGGTATCCATATTTTGAGTGATTGCGATAGAGGGCATCAAGACGAATATTTTGAGAAAAAAATGAAATCGGTTGGGTAATTTTTGAGATATTTAGGAAAAAGCGTAAAGAAACAAATGACTATTTCTCAAAAACTAATTGACGGATCCAGCTGAATTTTGGCATGAAGTTAGTCCCAAATGATTCCAATAAACTGACAAAATTTCATATTTTTTGGAATAAATTTTCCCGTTTATTCGTTAATTATAAGAAACAGTGACCACCGAGTGGACACTATCACACACAGACATGGTCCCCAAACTTCGTATTTTTCCGTTTCAGACTATTCTGGATGGTTTCCAAGCAAAATTATCAAAAGTGAAAATCGAACGAATGCAAAGCTTCCATTCGGAAGCAAAAATTAATCATCTGATCCAGTTCATCGCTGATATTATCCATTGTAGTGGCAAAAGGGAAACTCATGCTAAATTTCTAGTTCGTATAGCAATTTAAAAAATAAATAGCGGACGGACCAGCATTTTGATCGAAAAAGGAAAAATTGAAATATCTCTAAAATATAGTATAGATGGGTATATATATTTTGATTGTTTAAGATAGGAGACATCGAGGCGAGTATTTTGAAAAAAAAATTGAAATCGGATGGATAGATTCTGAGATATTTACGAAAAACGATTTTGATACAATGTTGAATATCTCCTAAACTAATCATTTGATCAAGCCCGTCTTCAATCCTNATTACAAAAAAGCAAAAAACAAAGAATAAAAAAGAGTTGAAAAAGGGATAAATAAATGATCAAAAAAGATTTCAAAAAAGATATGAAAAATATAAAAAAAAGACAGAGACATTACAAAACAAGACGAATATTCTTGAATAATTGAAATTAGGATCGGTTGACTCGTTATTGAGATATTTAAAAAATTAGATTTACATATAAAGTTGAATATCTCAGAAAGTAATTATCCGATTGAGCACATTTTCAATATGGACCATTGTTACTACTAGAGACAACTTGATGCCAAATTTCAAGTTGATATCTCCATTTTTGCGGATGCTAGAGTGCAAACAACGATTTTAGGTAAAAAGAGAAAAATCGAAATATCACGAAAACTTTCTATGAACAGGTATCCATATTTTGAGTGATTGCGATAGAGGGCATCAAGACGAATATTTTGAGAAAAAAATGAAATCGGTTGGGTAATTTTTGAGATATTTAGGAAAAAGCGTAAAGAAACAAATGACTATTTCTCAAAAACTAATTGACGGATCCAGCTGAATTTTGGCATGAAGTTAGTCCCAAATGATTCCAATAAACTGACAAAATTTCATATTTTTTGGAATAAATTTTCCCGTTTATTCGTTAATTATAAGAAACAGTGACCACCGAGTGGACACTATCACACACAGACATGGTCCCCAAACTTCGTATTTTTCCGTTTCAGACTATTCTGGATGGTTTCCAAGCAAAATTATCAAAAGTGAAAATCGAACGAATGCAAAGCTTCCATTCGGAAGCAAAAATTAATCATCTGATCCAGTTCATCGCTGATATTATCCATTGTAGTGGCAAAAGGGAAACTCATGCTAAATTTCTAGTTCGTATAGCAATTTAAAAAATAAATAGCGGACGGACCAGCATTTTGATCGAAAAAGGAAAAATTGAAATATCTCTAAAATATAGTATAGATGGGTATATATATTTTGATTGTTTAAGATAGGAGACATCGAGGCGAGTATTTTGAAAAAAAAATTGAAATCGGATGGATAGATTCTGAGATATTTACGAAAAACGATTTTGATACAATGTTGAATATCTCCTAAACTAATCATTTGATCAAGCCCGTCTTCAATCCTATCCATTGCAGTACTAAGAGGCAGACTTGTGCCAAATTTCAAGTTGATATATCAATTAAAAAAATAACTAGCGTGCGAACAAGGATTTTGAGCGAAAAATGGAGAAATTGAAATATCTCTGAAATTTAGTATAAACGGATATACGTATTTTGATTGATTAAGATAGAAGACATGGAGGCGAGTATTTTGAATGAAAAATAATTGAAATCGGATGGATAGATGCCGAGATATTTACGAAAAACGATTTAGAAACAAATGGGTTTTTCTCGAAAACGGTTAGACCGATTCAGCTGATCCGGTGCACAGAATTAGTCCACATTTATACCTATAATTTCACTAAATTTCAGATTTTTTTGAATTTTTTTTAGATTTTCTATTTAATAATGGTATAAAATTCATTTTCATTATTATACCAATGGAAAATGAAAAGAAAATCCCAATTATTTTTGTCGTGAATAATGAAAATAATTAATT